TATATCTTTCAGGAGCAGAAAGCCTCATCTTTCTCCTGCAGAGCAGCTGGTGGACTTGAACTGCTGACCTGGTAGTTAGCAACGTGACACATAACTCACTACACATTACCAGTGTGCCTTACAAAGACATGGCTAGAAGAGCTATTTTAAATAATGTAAGTACACTGTAATTATTGACTGGTGATGGAATGGAAGACAGGACAGTCGAGCTCAATGCCTCATGGAAGCTGCACTCTGGTCAAGGTGGGTTGTAAGGAAGCTTCAATAGTTCAGTTAATGATGTAAGAACACTGTGGTCAGTGCTATGGTCCAGAAGTACCAGTTGTTGAGTCCATTCCACTCACAGTGACCCTGTGTATGTCAGAGTAGAACTGAAAGCGATATGCTTTTCTTTTTCCTATGATTTGAGTGAAGGTTTACAGAGCAGATCATCGGTTTTACATTCAACAAATCATACACTTTGTTTCATTACAATTGCAGTCCCCTCCATTTACCAACAGTTAACAGTATTTACCGCTCTATTCACTTTACCTATTATGTTCCTCTGTGTGTCTCCTGCTACCTTCAGCCTTTCTCTGCCAACTGTCCTCTTGTTGTAGATTGTCCACCCTGTAATCCATGTTAGCAAACGTCCACCCTCTAGAGCTCAAGAATAATTTTCACTCCCTGCTCCCTCATAAGCATTTGTTTAGTAAGAAAACCTAAACTTTTAAAAACATACAGTATTAGTACTTTTGTGATTGACTAATTTAACTCAGCATAATGTCTGCCAAGTTTATTCATGTCATGAGGTGTTTTGCAGATCTATTGTTATTAAATGTTGCATAGTATTCAACTGTTTAACCATTCTTCTGTTAAACAGGCATTTTTGGCTGTCTCTATCTCTGGTAGCGTAGTGGTTACGAATCGGGCTGCGAACCTTAAGGTCAGCGGTTCGAAACTACCAGCCGCTCCGCGGGAGAAAGATGAGGCTTTCTACTCCCGTAAAGATTTACACCCTCGGAAACCCTGTACAGGGTCGCTATGGGTCGGACCCGACTCGATGGCACTCAACAACAACAACAACAACAATCTCTTTGCTTTGTCTCTTGTTGAGAGCATATTGCAGGATCCTGTTTTCTTTTCCATTCTGCTTTCTCTCTTGATTGGTGTGTTTACTCCATTTGCATTTATTGTAATTATGGACAGTTATGAATTAATTGCTGTCGTTTTGCTGTGTGTTTCTTTTTGTAGTGTTACTGGTTTCTTTGTTCCACATAATTTTCTGTGCTGAGTTCATTTTGTTTGTGAGTTTTGTTTTTATTTTCTTCATTTCTGTTGGGTTAATGTTTATTACATCTTTCTGGTTTCCTCTTTTTTAAAATTTTGATGCACAAATATATTAGTTTTCTTTGAGATTACCCTGCAATTTATTATTTTTTTCCATTTTAACAATCTGCTTTTATCTTGAAATCTACTTGACTTCCTAGGCATTTGGAAGTTCTCTTCTGTATTTTTGCTTGGTAGTTGACTTCATTATACATCGAAATCTCTGGTTCCCTATTTTCAGTCTTGTAGGTTTGATTTACTTTAAATACTTCTATATCTGGATTGAGTTCTGGGTGGTATTGTCAGATATGGTAATCTCAGGTTGAAGTCAACTGTTGCTGGTTCTCAGTCCAAAGAATACCCTTTAATAGTTTTTGTAAAGTTGGTCTGGTCATTACAAATTCCTTTAATTTCTATCTATCAGGAAATGCCCTAATTTTACTGTTATATTTGAGTGACAGCTTTTCTGAGTATATGATTCTTGGTTGGCAATTTTTTTCTGTATATATCATCCTACTGTCTTCTTATCTGCATGGGTTTTGCTGAGAAATCCATAGTTTAGCTTTTTTTTCTTTTTAAAAGCTTTTTTTGTGAATTGAGTTAGTTTACATGGGAGAACATCATTTTGCATTCATCCTATCATATTTCGTTTCATTACAATGATTACAATCCCCTCCCATGCTTCCCCATTCAACAGTCTTTGCTTCTATATCCTCTGGGGTTTCTTTCTTTCTTTTTAAAAATGTTTTATTGTGAATTATGTGATAGTTTACATGGGAGAACATTAGCTTTACATTCATTCTATCATATATCGTCTCATTGCCATGGTTACAATCCCCTCCATGCATCATCAACCAACCAAAGGGTATACCCTGCAAGCCTGACCACTCAAATGCTACCTCTTTCACAACTCCATCTCCAAACCAATTCCAACAGCAGCTATGTTTTCCCTTTAAATTTAAGAACACCCAGAACATTCCATTTGTACCTCAAATAGAGTCAATTATGCACTTATTGGACCCATTCTTCTTTGTTAGATGTGAAATGACCTGGACCCACATTGGTTCCCATTTCTTGGTTTTCTTACTTATGTCACCTTACATATAAGGAATCAGTGATCCTGCCTGAAGTGAACATCAGCCCTGATTCTCCCTCATTTCCTATTCTTGCCACACTTAGTTCTTCTCTCTCAAAACTTCAACTTCTCTTCTAGCCTTGGGGGGAAAATTCTCCTATCTCTTGAACTCACCACCATCTAGCTTCCCATCTCATTGATGCCAGATTCTTGAAAGCGTTGTCTCTTGACCTTCCTGATTCTTAGTCATACACACCCCCACCTCATAACGACTTGACTTTCTCTAGAGTTATCTTCTAAAATATGGATCTGTTCCGTTACCCTGCTTTTTTAAAAAGGCCATACATCTCCAGAGACTAGAAGTTATTACCAACTGGAAAGCTAGTAATAAGTCACAACTTATAAAAGAAATAAAACTACATAATAGGGTGGACCACGTACAACACCTCAATCCTCAGAAAGAGAGCTTGTCAAAAACCACACAAACTTGGGTTGGGAAGAGACCTCAGAAGTCATTCCATCCAACCCATTCTTGCCCATGCCTTGTCTATAGGTCAGCTCTCATTTCAATAGCATCTAGAGTCACTGTCCTGCCAAAATAGAATCTCTTCAGCCCCTACATGGATCAAAGTCCCTTTTCATTGCTCTAATAGAAGTGAGGCTATACAAGAAGGACAACTACCAAATGTTTGGTTGACACAAATCCTCATTTAGAAATCCAAAGACTTGGGCTTTTCTTTCAGTTTCCCAAGGTGGAATGCTGGGAAAAGGAAGAATACATTGAAGACCTCAGCATCATCTCATGCAATAGCCTCATTTTACACACTAGGAAACAAGTCTCTAGGAAGTAAAAGGACTTGCCCTAATGGTCTCCAAGTTTTCTGCCCAAAGTAACTCTTCTGGTCAGCAAGAGGCCTTATATTTTTAGAGCCATGAATTCTGACTTGATCAAGGAAAAAAAAGAACTCTTCTGCAAATCCTAAGTATAGCTTACCTATCTCTCCTTCTACCTCCAGGTAAGTTGAGAAATCTTTGGTTGAGATACCATCTCAGCTTTGGATTGTAAGCACTGAAGGCCAGAGTTGAGTAGGAAGAGGGGTGAGAGATCAGGGAGCAAAGAGGGTGACCAGGGAAGAGCAAGGGGTCTAGACTATCCTCAGGATCAGAGACCTTGACACACAGTTCCACAGAGCTGGCACTCAGGACACACCCTGAGTACAAATATCTGGTTCTGTTTACCTCCAGACCTGCCACAATACCATCAATAAGAGGTTTACCCCCAACGGTTCTTACTCCTAGAATTCGTCATAATCTTGCGCCCTTAAATTTATAGTACTGTCAGAATAAAAGTGACCTCGGTTCAGAAAGCAGCCTTCTTCCCATCCGAATTCTGAGCCTGGAGGTTTTGACTACACTCAGGAAATACACACAAAAGACCAGGCAAGCACAGGCTGGCAGACAGACAGAGCTGTGCTTCAGAGTTGAAGATTGATGAGATCAATTTTGAAGCCTCTATGCCTTCATCGTCCAGATTATAAATGGCAGTGATTTTTTTTGCCTCTAAGTCTCATGTTTCAAACCACATCCTTCCACTGTTATCACGGTCATCATTTTACGTAAGCCACAGAGCGTGGGTCACTGCGTGGTAAAGCCACACTTTGGAACCTGCGGTCTACTACAGGTCATATCTAAGTCAGTTGCTTCGAGAATAAAAAAGCCAATTATTCTCAAAGTTAATAAATGCTTGAAATACCAGTAATCAATCCAATTTTATATTTTAGGTCTTAAACAGATCAATAAACATTTAACTGTATCAATAAGTAGATTATTAAGTTATTAATTTTATAAACTATTACATCTTATCTACACACACGTGATACATTTTTAATGGAAACATGGTGGTTCTGTAGGATAAGCACTGGACTATGAACTGCAAGGTTGGTGGTTTGAGCCTATCAGCTGTTCCATGGGTGAAAATGAGGTTTTCTGCTCCAGCAAAGATTTACAGCCTTGGTCACTATGAGTTGGAATCAACTTGGCAGCAAACCACAAAAACAGTAACAAGCATGTGATATAGTTTAAAATACTGGTCTTTTAGAGACAGGTACCAAAAGGGACGAGCCAACAATGAAGCAGAGGCCAGGTATATTTTTCACCACTAAGTCCTGGTATGGTACTGTAGGATAAGCACTGGACTGCTTGCTAGGTTGACAGTTCAAATCCATTATTCGCTGTGCAGAAACCCTATACAGAGTCACTGTGAGTCAAAACTGACTTGAGGGCACTTAACAACAGCAAAAACAACAACAAATCCTCAATGCCCAACTCAGTATGTAGCACACAAACATTTATGGGATAAAGGAGTGAACATGTGAAAAAATGCAATTTCCTAATCAAAATGAGCATTTCTTAATCACCTCCAAGTCAATTTCCACTTGAGTTAACCAGAATCTATTTTGAAGATTCATTTACATCTATCATCAGCTGAAAATGGTATGACCTAAGACCTTTTAAGCCATTTCCTTCTAGTTGTTGTAAAGTGCTGTTTAATCCTGTTACACATGGGAGCACCAGTAACAACAGTCAGGCAGGAACAAGACTCACCATGCACACTCACCTGCCATGTCGATGGCAAAAGGCCTGTCTGCTCTCCAGCCAGTGTACCAGCCAACAACTTTGCCATTTTCCACCAATGGACGTTCATAGCGTCGCCCACCAACCAGGCCCACTGGCCAGACAGAGACCTTGCGTGTGGTTCGCATCTATAAAAAGAGGAAAGAGATGTGTTTTAGGTTTCCTTAGAGCAAGGAACTTGGAGGAAGGAAAGGAATGTGGTCCATGCAGAAGAAATGTGTATGTAGATGGTCATTTCCCAAAGACAGGTGTTTCTAAACAGAATCCTCCTGCTGATAGATAGCTACCTTGCTTTATCATTGTTTGGCTGCTCAGCACCATCAGCTGTGTACTCAATCATAAATTCAGCCAGGGGCTCAAAGCTTCTGAGAAACAAAGTGTGTGGCCATACCGGAGCAGCACTTATTTGAAGTTAAGCTGCAACTATTAGATAGCTTCTATTTGTTTCAAAGTTGGATCTTTGCTTTTATCTTCTGAAGGGAGGTATTTTAAGAAGCTATATTACTCAGAAACTTCACTCCAAGGGGCCACCAGAGTCTTCTTTCTTTATATTATTTACTGCTATAGATACACACAACTCTTGACTGGGGACATTAATAATGGGATCCAGCTACAGAACAGGCACCAGGCATCTCCATAGTAACAAAAAGAAAAATACACACATGAAATTCACCTGCCTCTCAAGGGCAATTGGGCCAAATTGGAGAGAAAACCACTTCACACTGGCAGTTTGAGCAGCCAGTCCTTTTGGGGCACCCATGGTATGTACTATGCAGTGCAGATCTAGTTAAATACAACCATCTTCTGAAAGTTATTTGCCGAATTTCTTTAAGGAGGAAGACTTGCTAACACCAAGCAGCATTTTTAAGGAGAACAGCACACTGCAACCTTCTTTCAAGCCACATTTTCAACAAGTTTACAGTCAGTATCCATGGTACATTTGTGCAAACTTGAAAACAGCATCCTTCCTTGAACAGATGTACTCTAGGCTGGGGGCCATGGCTTGACCATCAAAGTGCAGGCCGTAGTCCCCATGAGTCATAATCAACTCAATGACAGCTAACCACCACCACCAGTGCCACCCTGTCATCTGGGTGTGCCCTGCATTCAGCAGGTGTCAAATAATTCTTGACAGGAAGTAATTTAAATGTGGACCCAAATGTAATAAGCAGTCAGTATGTGCTTGCTCTATGCAAGGGACATGCCAGGTGCTAAGTTAAAAAGCTCACAATCAAAGACGACTATAGTCCATAAAAGAATATAAGGCAAAACATTTTCAAGGTTGGAAGAGAGACATTTCCATTTGAGATATTAAAACCCAAACTGTGAGCCACAAGGAATGGAAAAATTGAATATGACACTACAGCAACTAAAACTGGTCATGGTGGCTCAATGGTAGGGTCCACATGTAGTAGGGGAGGCTTGTGTGTTGCTATGGTGCGAAACGTCCAGACTAAGGTAACTAAGAAGAAAGGCCTGGTGATCGGCTTCTGAAAATCAGCCAAGAAAAACCCCAAGGACCATAATGGTCTGATCCACAACCAACTGTTGAGGATGGTGCAGGGCTGGGCAGCATTTCGTCCCACTGTACTTGGAGGCAGTGTGAGTCAGGCAGGGATCGACTCACAGGCAGCTAACAACAACAACTGAGAAACTAAGCATATTTTGTGGCAGGCTTTCCATTTAAGATGAGCCAGGAAAGACATGTAGGATTTTACCCACAGAATACAGTAGGTAACGAAATAAAAGAAGGAAAACTTCACATTTCGATTCCTGTTTGATACTAGAAAAGGTAAGCTTTTCTTGTCATCATTGTTGTAGTTAGCTGTTGTGAAGTCACCTCCGGACTCATAGCCACCCCATGCACAATAAGCTCAGACAGTTGTGATCCATGGGTTTTCAGAATCAGACCTCCAGGTCTTTCTTCCTCATTCATTGTAATCTAGAAGCTCCACTGAAATGTGTTCAGCATCATTGACCGCATGCCAAGCCTCCACTGGCAGACAGGTGGTGGCTGGGCCTGGGCCCTGTGGCTGGGACTCAGATCTGGTCTCCTGCTTGGAAAGGCATCTAACCACAAAACCATCAATGCCTTGTTAGGTTTTGCTTTGTTGTGGCCTTGAGTCAGTTCTGACTCATAGTGACTCTGTATAGGGCTTCCAAGGAGCAGCTGGTAGGTTTGAACAACCAATCCTGCAGTTTTCAGTCCAGTCCTACAGCACCACATAAGGACTCCAATGTTTTGCTTGGCATACTCCAAATTTCTGAGATCAGCTTAGAGCAAACATTTGTTCGTATTTTAATTTTTCAGGGTTGGGTGTTAAAGGTGAAGTGATGTTTCTCTGAATTAGGTGATTTGGTGTGGCACTGCAGGATAATGTGCTGGACTGTACATTATCAAAAGTTTGAGCCACAAGGTCGGCAGTTCAAGCCTACCTCCTCAGAAACCCTATACAGAGTTGCTATGGGTTGTAACCGACTCAATGGCACTTAACAACAATAATGTATGCCAAATTAAAAGCCTAAATTAAAAACTAAATTTAAATACTACAGAAGTTCTAAAATAATTATATACTCTTTCCATGCATGCGCTGCTCTGAGATTCAAGGCGATGGACTGATTTATCACAAAATTATAGACATACAGCCCCTCCAAATATGGCCACTATACTATATAAAGCATGCCAAACATTTCAAAGGAAAATAGCATAGTTATTTACAGAACTTCTTCATTTCACCCCTGGGATCTAGGCTTTGTTCTGTGTCCTTTTCACTCAATCTATGCTCTTTAAGGATTCCTTGGCAACTGCCTTCTTTTCTCAGAGTGGAGAAAATGTTACTATTAAAAGTAAGAGCACTTTCAAGGGACTAAAATATTCTCAGTACAGTCAGTCTTCAATTTATGATGTAATTGAGTAAGGACAAACTGCACTTACAACTGTCCGGTTTTTTTGTTGTTGTTTATATCACTTAATAAAATGTACTACATACAATGTTACAACATGTAATATGCTGATACTATCATTCTTACAACTGCCAAAATAAAGATCAAATTGTTAAAGATATTGATGATAAAAGGCAATAATGATGAAAACTGAAATAACAATAATGAAAAACACAAGGTATTCGACTTACATCATAACTGACTTACCAGAGTCATTGGAACAGAACCTTGTTGTTAGTCAGGGACTACCTGTATTTAAAGGAGTCCTGGTGTGGTGCTGTGGGTTAATGGTGCTGGACTGCAAGGCTGGTTTGATCTGCAAGGTCAGTGGTTTAAACTCACCGGTCACTCCTTAGAAACCCTGTATGGGGTCATTCTGAGTCGAAACAACAACAATGACCTGTATTTAAACGCTTTGTTACTATTTTGCTTCCAAATAGTACTTACAGCGCAGGCACAATTTTAGGTGCCTTGTATAAACTTTCATCTGAAACCGTGGAATATATAGTACCCAATATTAAGATAAAGAAGGATCTTGAAAGAAAGACCAGCAGGGAAAACAAAAATGGCAGTGTGATTGGCTACTACAAGAATAAGCAAGTGGTTCACTGGGAAGCCATCAAGGCAAGCAATCAAGACCCTTCAGGACAAACCCCTCCCAAGACTGAAACGCCAAGGGAATACACGATCAGGCATGTAAGCTTGCTGGCGACCACCTTGGTCTATTGTTGAGAAGAAGTGAAGGAAAAGCAGCAATGAAGACTCCTGAGCCCATGGACAAGGACATGGCCATGGAGGGCTTGAGCTGAGAGTGAAGCATCCAGTTGATATGAAGTGAGGGGATATACACAAGGGTGCTCAAATTAGCACATAGTGCCATTGGGCCTAGCTTCAATGGCTGGATGTTCAGAACCTGACTAGAGGAAGGAAAAGAGAAAACAAGTGTAAATTGCTGCAATCTGATGAACTTGACCTATACTTATAGATGTAGTAGCTTAAAATACCAACCAAAAGGGAAGGAATCTTTACAGCAAGATTGAGTCCCATCCCCTCTGTACTCAGGGTGGATAGGGATAGGCAACTTGTTCTTGTTGTTAAGTGCTGTTGAGTTGGTTCCAATCCATAGTGACCCTGTATAGGGTTTTCCAAGGAGCAGTGGTTGAGGGGGCTGTAAAGGCACAAAGTGACTGACTTTTAAGTTTTCAAAAGGGAGTTTAGATTCACAGTGTGTGGGGGTGGGGGTGGTAGAATCCCCACTGAGTGGTTTTCATCCTGTCTAGATGGGTTTGGTGAAAGGAGATGGGGACAAGACTCTCATGATTCAACAGTGAGTAATTGTTATGACTAACTGTGATTGTGCCAACTGTAAAGGTAGAAGTTGTGTAGCAAAAAGGGGTGAGTGATCAATCTTACAGTCCTGGAGTGGCGGACCCCAGGACCATTAAAGGAGAAGAGCAGGAGTGGAGTGTAGGGCCCTACCCAGAGAAACAGTGACACCAGAGATGGAGGCAGAGATGATGACATGGAGAGATGGAGCAACTGAGGACTCAAGACTCCTGGAGGGAGAGGGGCTGAGTGCTGGAGGATGGAGGGTAGGCTTGCAGGGTGTGCCCTTTGGCTGTTTGAATGATTGTATATTCCTGACTGTTTTGATGCACATCCAAAAAAAGAATCCAGGGGGAATAGAAACAAATACTGTTGAATGATGAAGCATGCAGGAGATTGTAATCATTGCAGTGAAATGAATACAATAGGATGAGTGTAAAACAGATGTCCCCCCATGTAAACTATTACTCAATTCACAGTAAAAACTTAAAAAAAAAAAAAAAAAGATAAAGAGGGAGCAGTTTACATTCTCCTCACAGTTATATAAAACAGGTCTTACGGTTCTCATCCTATTAATTTAATGCCAAATTTATACTCTTTTTTTCCCCTATTCTTCCTCTGGTGTCTTGGTGTGGTGCTGTGGGTTAATGCTTAGACTACAAGGTCAGTTTGAATAGCAAGGTCGGTGGTTTAAGCTCACCAACTGCTCCCTGGAAATCCTATATAGGGTGGCGATGAGTCAGAATTGACTTGACAGCACTTCACAACAACTCCTCCTCTAACTGGGAACGTGGTGGCACCATACGATAACCACTGGACAGCAAACCACAAGGTGTTGGGTTCGAGCTCACCAGCTGCT